TTATTTTAAAATTTTATATATTTATATAAAATGAATGTTTATGTAAAAAGTACTTCTGGATCATATGTAGTATAAAGAGGGTTTTACCAAAAATCTTCTTTTAAACTATTAACCAATCCCTTAAAGAAAATAGAAGAATAGCAGTCTGCAGATACATTGGCAAACAAACTCCAACTCAAGCAAACAACACCCTTCCAACAGTAGATGTCTGGGTCTCTGCCCTTCACACCCAGCAATCATTTCTGCTGCAAACTCTGGCTGTGTGCCCCAGTTTCCCTCAACTCTAACCCTGTGAACCTAAAGATTGTGTTGGGTCACACATACTGAAGGCTCAGTACCCTAAGACTGCCCACTTCAGATATCAGGATCAAGTGTGGCCTCTGGAATTGCTACTCTACTGGCTACTACTTGGGGTTCCCGTGACCCCCTCCTTGGGTTGCATTAATTTGCTAGAGTGTCTCATTGAACTCTGGGAGACATTTACATCATCAGTTTATTGTAAAGAACATGTTTGGGGACACAAGTAAACAGCCAGATGAAGAGATGCATAGGGAAAAGTTTACATCTGGCTAGAAGGTAGTAACTTCATCCTGTGGAGTTGGGATCTACCACCCTCCCAGCGTGTGAATGAGTGTCACCTGTATGCAGGCCTCCATGTGCTCAGCTGTCCAGAAGTTCTCTGAACTCTGTCCTTCCAGGGACTTATGAAGGCTCCGAGGTATAGTCACAATCAGAGTATGGTCTACTGTGTAGAAAAGGGATTGAACAACAGGGTATGTTCTAATACTGATAAACTGAGTGGGGAAACCCAGCAAGGCCTGCCCAGAATATTCTCAGTCTCTCAATGCAACTCTTTCCTGTTAGGTATGGGGCAAGACCACTTCCAAAATAACTAGCCTTACAATCCACTGTCAAACAAGGTGGGCCAGAGAATGTTTATGGACAGTAATAAGACAGAAAGGCAGGGAAAGATTTGAGTTTCTGTCACCGAAATTCTGGTTTCTATGGCCTGCCTTGGGGAAAAAGTTAAAAGTTAGAAAGTGGGTATACAGTTGAATAAGATGGTTTGGGATGTTCTGTGTGATACACACACACACACACACACAAAATCAACAAATTTTTTAAAATGAATTATATTTGAGGAGGAAACATAAAAAGTTATGTCATATTAATTAGTAGAGGTGATAAACATTACCATTGAAATCTACCCAATGACTTTATAGACATACACATATGCCAAGGATCTGAGTGCAACCAATTATGACTAATAATAATCAGATACATACAGATTAGAGAGCATGAACCAACATCTCAGTTTTACTAGCAAAAAACAATGAGTCTTTCTGTAAGAAACTATATTTTAAAAGGAAATGGAGATCTTTTTTAAAGGTTAAAAACTCATTCAATTTTATATCTTACAGGGCTTATACTGAGTTTAATATTGTATAACTGTATTAACTGTGAACCTAGAAACTTGCACCCACTTGTGAAAGAGATGTACTCTTGCTCCGGAGTGTGTTACTGAATATGTTAAAGCTGTAATGAAATGCTTCTTCTAATTGAAAAAAATAATATTTTATTGAAAAAAATG